AAAAAAAAAAAAAAAAAAAAAAAAAAAAAAAAAAAAAAAAAAAAAAAAAAAAAAAAAAGAAAATTATTCGATTGTAAACGTTGGCATTGGAAATGATTGAAAAAATTATTTTGCATTCAAGAAGCTTCCAATAGATGTTTAAAAAAAGATTCAAGCTTGCTGTTTATAATAGAAAAAAACAAAAACAAAAGAAAGGAATAAAATTAAACCAACGACAACAACGATATAACCATCATCCGTTAGACACTTTCGGTTTCGTTGTACTTTGTGCCTGTCGCGTGTGATTACGAAGGTGTGCATAATACAACACACCCACACATACATAGATATTACTACGTATAGTCGTCCTACGTCATTAGGCTCCACACCACTCGACTCCCAACTCAATTTGAATGCGACCTAGTTAATTGAGGGAGTCGCTGCCTGCACCGCGAGCTCTGAAATTAACCGATTTACAAAACGAGAAAAATTTCAATTCCGAGTGACGATTGGCGACAATTAACGCTCTCTACTCCTGTATCTCGAAGGTGCACGCGCGCCGTATCCCTATAGTATGGAAATACATTACCAGCACGAGCAAGATTATTATTATTATCATTATGATACTCCCTCGAGTGCCACAGCGGAGGGAATTTTGGAAGCCGCGGAAATTAATTAGACTGGATTGTAGCGCGAAACCGCGCGTATGTGGATGATACTTTGTACCGGGTGGTCGATTAGCCGTGCACACATAGCTTCTTACGCACGGGATGTGGGATGGAAAACATTTTTCTTCCTCTTGTTTTAATTAAATTTACAAACGAATGAACGAAAACAAAAAAACTTGCAGCTCCATAAACAAGCCGATCAGCATATTTGCGTACAGCAGCATCGGCAGCGACAGCAGTTCCCGCGTGCCACCTCGCAACGCGTTGTCCCGGCGCCGGTCGGACACCAGCGGTGCCAAAACAGCCGGGTCGGCGAAATCGACGGCTCTCGACTGCCAAAGGAAGCCAGGGTCGAAAAACTCGGGTCTGGACCGACGGGCGAGCCTGGCCGAGGACAAATCGTCGATTGGCCGCTGCAACGGGGAAATCTGCTCGTCCCCTGCCGGCCTTGGTAGCGAAAAGGTGCCGGACTGCTCTGCCCATGACGATGCCACTGCAGCAAAGGTGAGTGGGTTTTGGTGACACATCATGCCAAAATGATTAAAGGACTCTTTGAACGAGTCATTGAATGATTTTACAAGGCTTTTCGATTACTCCAGAAACCCTTATGAACATTTTTTGATTGCTTTCGAGGATGCGTGCAGTTCCTAACTGTAGAGGATCGATTAGCTCCCTCCTAAAACTGCAATGTGTCACCTGGAATCTCGCGAGCTAAACCGGTATGTTATTTCCTTGCTTGACGCTCGTTCCAACTCCCACACTTTTGACAAATCATCGACGCTGAAAATGTACTCATTTCCGTTGTGGGATCGCAAAAGAGTCGCCAAAAGATCACATCGGACGAGAGTCGCGAAAGCTCTTTAAGCCCCGGGTTACAACCCCCTCGTGATTTGCAACGCGCGGTATTGAGTAGAAGGCGTGTGCGTGTAATACCTACAGCTAACGATTTTCCGAGCACCAAAAATTAGGTCCAAGCCTGTGTTTAATACGTATGAGAGATTGATTTAGATGCGGGGGATCTTCTGTGCTCCATATTTTGTTTTCTTCTTTTCCTGAGGACATCGTTTTACGAGGCACATGGTAGGAAAATGTTACAGATACATGTTAAAAGTTTTGGTATCATTTTACTTACGAAGCGTGACCTACGTGCCGTTTCGCGTTCGGCATTTGTGGTTGTTGAGAGTATGTCAAAGCTGGTTATGTTTTAGTTTCCAACTCCACTGCCAATAACATATATGACACAAGTATAAAGGTATCCGATTAAAACCGCGGCTGAATTAATTATAAAATTCCAATCCTAGCTCTGATGGAGCGAATTTTACACTCCTGTAAAATCAATGCCGATTATCGATTACAAATTACCGATCCCTCCTAGGTGGGACTGTTCTATGGTTCTCTGTCACGTAAATACATGAAAACTGTCTATTTAATGAAAAAAGTTACTCATACGATTGACATTGTGTGTGAAAATGTCACTGATTTCAGACGGAAACTCAACAGTCCAGCGAGACGGAATCGGCAAGGAGCGCCAACAAGTCGGACGACGAGTCGAAAATCGATGACGACAAGGACGACAGCCCGCCCTCGCCGTCGACGCTACAGTGGGGCCGAGCTGTCGCTGAAGTCAAGGAGCAGGCGGTGGCCAAGCTCCAGGAGGAGCTCCGTCGCGCCCACGAGGAGCTCAAGCTCAAGGACGAGGAGGTGGCTCGGCTGTCGCGGATCCGGCAGGACGTCGAGGCCGAGCTCGAGGAACTCACTGCCAGTCTGTTTCAGGTATACTATACCTACTTGCAGTGTTGACTTTTCCATGCCGCTCACTTTTCGTTATTGGGCGATAAAAAACAAAAAAAAAATTTCCTCACACGCGACAGGAGGCACACAACATGGTGCGCGAGGCGAACCAGCGACAAGCCACGGCGGAGCGCCTCCTGGAGGAGAGCCGCATGAAGGCCGAGGTTTTGGCGGCCGAGGTGTTGGCCCTTAAAACCCTCGTGCTCACGTCAACGCCAGCGAGACCGAATCCCCACCTTCATCCACAGATCACTTGCAACGGAGGAGGAGGTGGCTTGGAGGACAACCACAACCATCACACCCAGTCGAGTGGGATATTCGCCAAGAAGCACCGGCGCTCGCCCTCGCACTTCAATCTCAAGTACGGGAGGGAGAACTCGCCGCCCGACTCGCCCCAGAAGGAGAACAGGCCGTCGCTGCCCTACGAGCAGAACTCCAGAGACGCCTACGAGAGGGACCTGGATCGGGACAGGGAGAGGGACGGCGACAGGGACAAGAAGAGGGAGAGGTGAGCTAAAATTATATACATGCACCTTGTAGCAATCGCAGGCTCGGGCTGAAGGAAAACCTTTGGCTGACGTTTGTTTGCTTGTTGAATGTGTACAGGGAGCGCGACAAAGACAGCAAGGATCTCGGTCTGGAGGTCGACCCACGGGTGCACAGCGAGTTCATCAGGTGGAAGGTCAGTCCGTGCGTCGACAGGAGCGACCCCTTTGTCGCGAGGATTTTCCGGGAGGACATTGACTTGTGCCTCGACTTTCCGAATGCCGAGCTCGGCGCCAAGGTCCGACAGGCTGTGCTCGACGGCATCATCTTCGTCGAGGCTGTCAGCGACAAGGCCAAGCTTGGCTTTCCCAAGTGAGTTTTTTGGCATGTGATTTATTGATTTCGACCCCTTTAAACGTGATTAATTGGTTTTATTTTATTTTTTTATTTTTTTTGTAGAAAATGCGCCTTATTGGAGGCACCAAGACAGTGCCACTACAGGATGAGGATGGGAGACCAGGAAAACCAGTGGCACAGCATATCACACATATGTCGGAATAGAGTGAGTACAATAAAATTATACATTTATGCGTATTGTATACAGGTCACAATTTAACTTTGAACCAACTCATACTTATGTTACGTTTCGATTAGATAACAGCGGTTTGCGATTTTCTCAACTATCTCCGATACATCGAACGCGGCCTTGTTAAAAGTTCGGGTAAGTTGTCTGGCAAATTTTTAAAATAAAATCACAAGTTTTCAATAGCAAAGATAAATACAATGTATACCTATTTCATTCTCCAACAATTGTTCCACCCGAGCCGATATCGTTAGCAAGTTTTCAAGGTGAAAGATTTTCGATTAATTCGAACCTCTTCGTTGTTTGATTGCAGTGCACGATGTGTATTGGGAAATCACGCGGCTGCGAAAGGAAATGGTGCTTGCTCGACTAGGCCTGGCTTGACCGACTTACTTTTAAGAGCTATATACTATTATCCCATAATATAATCACTATACAACGCAGGCGAGAGAAGGGACAGAGAAATTTACTGTACTATCGCCGTAAATGCTGTATGACTTTGGTACGGTATAAAGGAAAATACAAGTATATCCTATGTAAGGAAGAAGAAAACGAGAAAATAGTATACGTTTTTATGAAAATTTTAAAAGTAAAAAGGTGCAGGTGCATTTCGTAAGGATATGAAGGCCTCGAGGTGCACGTAAATGTCTATACGATAGCGATAAAATGCATGCAGTTCAACTGTATTTGATAAAAACAAAAAAGTGTGTCAAATTATACAAAGAATGCCAAACAAGTTTTTTTTTCTTTTTCAAGTGTTAATCAGGATCGGATGCGATGCTGGTGTACAACTCGTCACAAGTTCCAGACTTCCAACTAGAGTTTAATAACTACTATCACGTATACATATGATAAATATATTATATATAAAATAGTTAACGTCCGAGACGTCGCCGATATCTCTTGTTGATATTATGTCAAGAGCGTTTAGAGTCTTTTTATATGTAAACTTATAACGAAATAACTATACGACGTGATCATAAGTTTTTGTTAGATAATCGTGTCTTTTTTCGATTTCTACTAAAAAAATTATATATATAAAAATATACGTATACATATATTTTTGTCTCGATGGGAGAGAATCTCAAATTCAATTTTTGTTGGTTATTTTAAAAAAATGTGTATCGATAGTATGATGTTTTTAAAGATTTTGAAAAAGGTCAAAGTATGAATGCGTGGGTTAGTGCGTGTGTTGTGGTGTGCAAAGTTTTTTTAAATGTGTACTACATTATAAGGCTGTGAGATGAGTTTCTGTACGATAAAAGCGTAACGAAAATCGCGAGTGGAATATAATGAGCGATGTGTTTATCATATGTTCTCTTCTGATTCTTTTGTACAATGGTATTTTCTTTAGATCAAAAACTTCATGTATATACATATATAAATGTGGCTAAATTGTGTAACAAAGAACGATGTAAATCAAACGATTTGATGGAGATTTTTTTATAAATACATTATATTTTCTGAAATATGTGTGTCAAAGTCAATTTAGACTTAACTTTTTTTAAATGTTTATTTGATCGAGTACTTGTGTGTTTTTAATAAATACCTACTGATGACGCGTGGAAGATTTTAGTGCATAAATCAAATAAAGTTTTATGAATCAATTGAGCGATATCTATAATGCACAGAAATTTGGAAACCAAATCAGTTGTTACTATATTGATTAGAATGATTAGTTTTTCGTTAAAATTGAGATTTATACGTATTTGAAGAATCCCTGTTTAAACTAATACGAAAATTCACTTATTATTTTGAATTTTGACGAATCAAGATAAATTCGTATTAATTCGTGTACATACACAGTAAAAGGTATAGTCACATTACGAATTACGAAGCTCCGTTGTTGCGAGCGTCATAATAAATGTTACAGTAATTGTGTAGTTGATTATTTAAATTGTAAAATCATATGAGGCCAAATGGACCACTTTGACATATTTCTACGTGATAAAAGTAAAAATTTTAAACAACAAATATCTCTCCGATTTGTTCAAAGAGAGAGTACTGTTTACGAAACGTAGATATGAAATCCTAGTGATATTATACTTATCAGAATTTTTACTGAAAAAAAATAAGAGTATAAAAATTGTAATGATATACCCTACCTGTATAAGTTACACGTGCAATGAGTTTTAAGTAGGTATATAATTATTTCATTATAGTTGGTAAATTATCATTTATATGAAAACGAATATCAATCATTCGAATAATGTACTGAGATTCAAATTGTTATACTAGTTCGATAATCAAAGTATGCTCCATTAAAATAAATGTTAATCGGTTCGAAAAAAGACCGATTTATTACAAAAATATGTTTTATTATACCCTTTTTTATCCACTCCTCCGTTAAATAACACATCACGTCTATGAGAGAATCTGTGCATGCAATATGGATATCAAAATGTCAATAACTTAATTGTTTATTTTTCGAATTTGGTCAAACATCTTTAACACTTGAATTAAGTAGCATACCTTTCGAGAGATCGAGTTACTCTCCTTTACCTTCGAGCGATACGCATCTCCAAAGGGGTCGCCGGTCGCACTCTATATAAAAAAAGAGGCCCTAACCTAAAAATCTTCGGTGCAATTATTGCATAAGACTCGTAGACGAGAGGAGGACAGCTACAGTGTACACACACACGACGACGATGATGACGGTGGCTGGACGTTTGAGCGCGTGTATTAGCTAATGTTTTGGGTCCATGGGTGTCCCCCATCTGCGGAATAATAAATATTAAAACGATGCTGTGCCACGGTCGTCTCGTTGGACAGCTGTCCAGGATAACGAGACACGCCTGCACGAGTTTCCCCGATCCTCTGAAACGCGTTGGTGAGTCTTGGTTTTGACCTTCATACCGGCTAAGGGGATATACTTACTTTTATGCACGTTTCTTTTTTTTTATTGTCTCTGGAAAGGATGTTTTTGGGCAACGGTAATTTATCATCATCTGTTGGCTCTCAAAAGCTTAAGAAATTTTTGTATTTGGTCATTTTACAAAATTGGTATGACTACAATTCAAAATTTAACCTCAACCTTTTTGGTCTTTTGTATATATTTGAAAAATATATATACACTACTAGACTTGAGTATGTCATATTTACTGGCGGTAAATTATTTTTACCTCTAACGAATTGTCTCGTGAATCTTTAATCAGTACTTGAGAAAAAGCTCAGAGCCAAGTACAAAATTTTCAACAATGACTTGATCGTAATGTAATTTGGGCGCAAGGTGAGTGATTAATATTTCTTTTAGGTTTCATCAGCACAAGCACTTTGAAATACAGCTCCAAAAGTAAAAGAGGCAAAACTGGCACAACGCTTAAGGTAGATGAGTGTGTACCCAAGACCAAAATACAAAAAAAAGTTCCTCCTTTGCCACCGCCACCACCACCTCCGCCTCCTATACATTCAACTGCTCCACCTGTGCCACCACCAAATGAACTGAAACCTCCAGAGCGTGCTGTTCCCTTGTGTGAGGATAGAAATTATAATTGTCCTCCGATTGCACAGGAAGAATGCTACAAGCCTGGAGGAGGCTCAGAAGGGAAGGGTCCAGAGTTCGAATATTGGAAACATTTGATTGCTACCCTTCTTTTAGCCGGTGTTTCTGCATACGCGGTAAGACTCTGTTTTTACCCACTGTACAATAATGTTACATTAATTTTTCATGTGTTTTTTTTTATAGTACTTTGAGTGGTTCAAAAAAGATGACAAGGAAAAAGAGCACACAGGTAAGTTTTAAATTACTTTGCACTAGTTTTCTTACATTTAATCTTATGATCATTTTTAGTCATTGATAAAGGCAGGGGGCGCCCGAAATTAGTCCCAGATCCCAAAGAAGCTTCTTCGATACCATCGGAAGTACCGTATTTGTTAATAGGTGGTGGCACAGCAGCGTTTTCCGCTTTTCGTTCCATTAAATCTCGGGATCCCAAAGCTAAGGTAAAATAATTTAAATATTTTGCATTTTATTTTGTCAATAACATAATTATCAAAGTAATCAAACGCTTGTAGGTTTTAATTGTAACAAATGAAGGTGATTTGCCGTACATGAGGCCTCCTTTGTCAAAGGAATTGTGGTACCAAAGTGATGACCTAGCTTCTCAACTGATATTCAGACAATGGAATGGTAAAAAGAGGAGGTAAAATATGACACAGTTCCGGAAAATGCCAAATGGAAAATTACTAATAGAGATGTAATTTAATTTGTTGTTAGCTTATTTTATGAGCCTCCAGAATTTTTCTTACCAATAAACGAACTGTTGAGTTCAGAGAAAGGAGGTGTAGCTGTCGCAAGAGGTTGGGAAATCAAAAAGATTGATGCATTCAGCAAAACTGCCTATTTACAAAATAATCGTCCAATCAAATATGAAAAATGCCTCATTGCTACTGGTAATAATATTTTTCTCTGGGTTAACATTAAATGTGTTAATGTGTTCACTGGCTCAAATGTATAATTTTAGGTTCATCGCCAAATAATTTGCCCATATTTGAGAAAGCAGATCAACGAATCAAAGAAAAAGTGATAGTCTTTAGGACAAAACAAGATTTTGAAGAATTACTCTATAATGTTCACAGTAGTGCAGTTAAGGATATTGTTATTGTTGGTGGTGGCTTTTTGGGCTCGGAGTTGTCCACTTCGCTTGCGCGAAACAGTAAGTCTGACTTTTCATCAGCTTGAATTTATTCACAAAAAGTCTAATGAGAATTGTTAAAAGCCATAAGTTTCTACTTGCAGTGACACCCGAGGGTAAAAGAGTTTATCAAGTTTACAAGGAAAATAGTGTATTAGCACAAGTTTTACCAGAGTATTTAAGCCAGTGGATAACAAAACATTTGGAAGCACAAGGAGTAATTTGTGTTCCCAATGTAGAAGTTCACGACTGTGCATTGAAAAACGACAAACTATCACTTACACTTTCTGATGGACAAGTGGTGAGCTTGTGTATAAAAATTTAAAACTTACCTACAAATACTCATTTTAGTGGATACTTGTCAACTTATTTACTCACAGATGGAGGCTGATCAAGTTGTCGTAGCAATCGGTGTAGAAGCAAACGTTGCCTTAGCTAAAGAATCTAATTTAGAAATTCATCCAGAAAAAAGTGGCTTCTTGGTAAACGCTGAATTAGAAGCAAGGAGTGATTTGTGGGTGGCAGGTGATGCCGCGTGCTTTTACGATGTCAAACTTGGAAGACGAAGAATCGAGCACCATGACCATGCAGTAATTTCTGGAAAACTGGCCGGTGAAAACATGACAGGTGCTCACAAACCGTACTTACATCAGTCGACGCTGTGGTCCGATCTTGGTCCGGAAGTTGGTTTCGAAGCGATTGGTATTATCGATTCGAATCTTGAAACTGTGGGTGTGTTTGCCAAGGATTCTGAGAATGATACATCTAAAGTTGCTGTTAGTGCGTCCAATGAAAATGTTAGAATTTACAGAATGTTTTAAAATTTGTTTTTGCTACTATTTGAATCGTTGACAAAATTACTTTAATTTTTAGGAAAACATAAACGTAGAGGATTCAAAATCTAAGCCTAAAAGTGAACCAAGTCCTAGTGAAAGTAAATTGGAAGAGAAAAAATCTGAAGCTCCTAAAGATCAGCCTGCTAATGTTGTTTCTGGTGATAAAGAAGCCGAAAATTATGAAAAAGGTGTTATTTTTTACTTGAAAGAAAATAACGTGGTTGGCATTCTTCTATGGAATATCTATGGTGGCATGCCAGTAGCAAGACAGGTAAATAAAATATCGGAATTGGTAATTTTCTGAACACTTCAATATAATAATAATTAAAAATTATGTAATTTAATTTACTTCTAGTTATTCAAAAGAGGCTTAGTATACGATGAAATCAACGAGGCAGCAAAGTTGTTCCAAATTCACGAAGAATACGAGGAATAAAAATTCAGGAGTCTTGGATCGCTGTATTGTATATAATGCAACAAGTATTTTCGATGCGAATTTTTACGTTAACTAGAGGTAACTGTTAACTGTACCGTTTTTAATTTCTTTGTGTTCATTCCGATCTACGCTGCTGAACTCTTAGTTTAAAGAAAAAAATTTCGCGAGGTTCGAACTGTCGATAATTGCATTTACTTAAACAGCTAATATTTTGGTGCCTGCAGGAACAGTAATATAATAATAATAAAATAATTACAATAGCTAAAACCGTGCAAACGAATGAAACTTGCTTTTGTAACGTTTAAAGTAATTTTTCACACTTTTTTTAGTTTCCTACAAATTGTACATTAATATGATTGTATCACCGTAACTTCAGTCCTTTGTACCATAGAATGTACTTCAATAACCACAGTTTATTCGATATTTTTGACGTTCAAAAATATCAATAACGATATCTCTTGTCTTGTCCAACTTATTATTGTAATCATTACTTTTTTTTTATTTATTTAAAAAAAAATAGCTTTATTCACTAGCTAGTAACTAGCTGTACAAAACATAGTTGATTGAATTTATATAAAAGTTTGAGACTTGTTGTTTGAAAATTTTTAGTTTTTTTTTTTGTTTCCGTCAACCATGATCTTTTTTTTTTTGTTTTATTTTAATCTGTGAAATCAACGTCAGAGAAGCTGAGTTTGCGCTGAGTTAATGATAGGAGAACTTTGCCTCCGTACCTTTTTCCCAGTCGATCCATTAATCCAATTTGGCTGTGACAGCGATAATCTTCAAGAACCTTTATAATTTGAGTGTAAAAATTAATGAAATTCACCGAGTCAGCACATAATTGGATGAACTATTATTCAAAGATATATATGTTACTTCCGTACCATATTTTCCGGCCACATGCTTCCTTTCGTCACATGGCTCACTATGTCACTCTCACAGTGACTCAATAATGAAACGCAATAGTATAATATGTAATCCGGTGAATACAATATGCTTATGGCAAAGTAGTGCACGATTTCGCTCCAAGGAAGAATTCCCATAAAGCATTGCGTCAACAGTCTATCACATATCATCCACCAGTCCATACCACATTCCCACTGGAGAGTAAACGTAAAAATTTACGTTTGTCGATGAAATCAACAAATATTTTTTAAATAATACTCACTTTCAACGCGAATTTCACTGTGGGAAATTCCAGGCTAATTATTGATTCAAGTAAATGTGCAAATAAAAGCCTTGTATAAGATTCCTCTTTGTCATCACCATCCATGACTTTTTCCAATGCTGGCCACATAAACATCACTGATGGAAAATGTAGGATCTGGTTTACAAATGTCTTTGCCCTAAATATATCAAAAAAATTTCCAATTAATCATCATCATTAAAACACAGGTCTGTGATGAACGAAATGTTCTAAGTCAAAAGTAACGAAAAATATAAACGTTACGACTCTGATGACTAAGTTTTCAACCTGAGACCTAAATTGGCCAATGATGAAATTTGGTTAGCTCGAGTCCTTGCGTGATGACTGTTGAGCTTGCGTTGCATTGATAAATCTTTTTTCAAATATGCAAACTCACGTCAATGTTGGGCTTTGCATCGACAAAAGATTTATTTAAAAAACCTGAGCTCCGGTTGTCAATAAGTTCGATTCGCGGCCAACTGAGGCTTTTTTTCTATCATACACAATAGTAACATTTGCTCACCAACATTCATATGTAGTAATCAAAATATACTAACTTGTCGAGGTCACCACTACAGATCAAGAAAACCGTGGCTAAGAACCAGTCGAAGCCTCCATAACGTTCAGGTTTGCTGTAATTGATGAAACAATGGGCTGACTGGATAAAAATTTTCAAATCTCCCTTGGACTTGGTCGTATTTTCCAGTAGTCCATTAATCGAAGCGTAATGCATGACCAGGTCGATTCCCCACTTCTCCTCCGGTAGCCAGTAATCGTCGCTGCACCTCAATTCCTGATCCCACTTGAAGCCCTCGACCCATTCCACCGTAGGAATAGCCTTTTCCATCTGATCCAGTAGATTCAACAACACGTGGCTCTGCAAATTAAATGCATGAGTTTTCCTTGCTCGAATCACGAATTTTACGAATAGATGAAAAAAAAAAAAAAAAAAAGAAAAAAAAAAAAAGATAAAATTGTAGACATGGATGAAAACCGGTCCCCAAGTAGAGAAGCCCTACTTGAGTCGGGTACCCATCTAGGAGCCAATGTACATGTAGAAAAAAAATTGCACAACGAACAACAACAGCCTCATCTCCAAAAATACCGCGAGGGAACCAGGTGAGGCTCTGTGGGCTCGCCTGGTGCCGAGGATCCAGCTGTTGTCCCTGATTACGGGGCCGCAGTCGCTCAACCAGACCTCGAGCTCGCTCTCGCTCGACGCGCTTGGTCTGACGTCGCCGTCCAGAGGGTGGGGTGGCGGTAGTTTGGAGAACAGGCGCACCTCCTCCGGCAGTGTCGACGACTCGTTTCGCTTGTGTCGCACGTAGTAGGTGCTCACGATTATCGAGTGGCGCAGCATGCTGCACTCGTCGACAACGTAACTCGGCTGGGCCTCGAAACTGAGCTCCTCCTCGGTCGCCTGGACTAGATACTCTTGGAACTGGAGGAGTTTTTGCTGCAAACGTGTACTTTCATTGACCTTTTGGGCTCCAAAAATGACGGAGCTTTTTTTCCCTCTCAAGTACCTGAAAGTCCAACAGATTGACCAGGAAGAGGTAGACATCCAGGTTCCAGAGCAAGATCTTCAGCGCTGACAGGCCGAGGTAGTGGTACGGCGAGTCCGAATCCGCAAAGCGCTGGAAGAGCTCCGGGAGGTTTTTCACGTACTCGTTCTCGTCCTCTGGCTTTTTACCCTCGTCTTCGCTGTCCATCATCATAAAAGCCAAAAAACCTGCAGCACAGAGAGGAAAAACTAGAGGAGAGAAGCGGGGAAAAAGAATCCCCCCGAATATTTACATGGAGCGTTCAGCGAGAAGAGGGCCAGCACGTGCAGGAAGACCTTGACGTCGTCGCTCTCCCAGGGATCGTAAAACTCCCGCGGGTCCTCGAGCTTCTTGCCCAACTCGGCGAGCAGTGTCGACAGCACGTGGGGTGCCAAGCTGGTTAGCACCTCGGCTCCGCGAGCCAGAAAGCCAGAGTTGGCAACGAAGCCGATGACGTCGTAAGCGCTCCAGGAGGCCCGAACCGGAGCTATTGATCCACGAATCAGTTCCTCGAAGATTAATGGCTCGTTCGAGAGCATCTGGAGGCCCAGAGGTATCGACACCAGGTTCATCATCATCTCTCTGACTGCCCTGGAAAACAATAGAAATCACCAACACTCGCAGTCAAACATACAGGTACAGTCTATTATGTACAATTCAGTTGAAAATTTAATCTATACTTACTTGACCAGGCATTGGGTCTTGATCTCGTTCTCGATGTAGTACCTGTCCAGCTTGCCGTACATGTAGGTCAAGCTGGGATAGAAGCTTTGCCTGACCACATCCTCGGTGACGCGAAAAATCTCGTGCATCCGGAAAATCTTGCCAATCAGCCTGAACAGGTCGGTCACGTGCTCGGCGCTCATCACTGCCACCGGCTGTCTCAGCAAGTTGGCGGCGTAGGCGATCACCGTGACGACCGGATTATTATTACTATTGGAGCTTTGCTTGAGACTACTTTCAGCTATCGACGCGGACGAGGAGACAGCAGCACTACCGGCCCTGCACTCGCTGGCCGTCATCATCATGAAGCTCGGTCCGTCTGGTGTGTCGAGCATGTGGCTCAGAACGTCGAGGGTGTGCGGCCACAGTCTCACCTCTGGCTTCGCGAGCGGGCTCAGAGCCACCTGATAAAACCTGGCGTCGTACAGCACGACGGGCCTACTCAGTAGACCCGAGAGCGCGGCGCGCACCGTCTCGTAGAGCGCGTTGGACGCGTCCGAGAAAGCTAGTCCGTTGAGGCAGCCAAGCAGGGAGGCCAGGAAGTCTGGGGCTGAAAGCTCCTCTTCCGTTCTGGTTTCCGAGAGCAGAGCTCGCCCGGTTGCCGTGGCGCAGAGTTGGCAGAGCAGATTCAAGCAGTGCAAGAAGCTGAAAGCTTCGACGGAATCGCCCGAGACGAAAACGCCGGCCGGCTCGTCGGACATGGTGACCGCCACGCCGGCTGGTGGGTTCTCCAAGCCCCTCTTGACACTAGCGACGACGTGTTTAAGCAGACCCGGGGATTTGGTTATTGCCGAGCACAGGACCTTCCGCGTGATCAGCCCGTGCATCCACTTCTTGCTCCAGCTCGCTCGGGGATCTAGCACCGACACTATCTGCAGCGCGCTCAAGGGTCTCTTCGGGCTTGAAGCAGAGCCGGTGCTGACCGTGATCGCCGTGTGAGACGACAGCAACGAGACGAACTGGCCGATCATGTCCTCGGAAAGCTTATCGGTGGTCCTGCTGCCCTTCAGCACCTCCTCGTGGTGATCGGTGATCAGTCGCATCACTCGGAAGAGCTTCTCGTGCAGAAAGACCTTGAAGTTGACACCACTGAGTATCGTGGGCAGGGTATCGGACAGCTTCTTCGACCGGTACAAGTCCGCGAAGGCGCTGAGCAGGTTAGCATAGGCGTCCAAGTACCGGGGGCAATTTAGCAGTTTGGCGTGCACGAGGAGACTCGCCTCGAAGACAGACCTACTGCCGTCGATCAGGGCGTCCCTCAGTGCCTTCAGCAGAGCCGGGCCCGAGTTGCTCGCCGCTGCGTTGGCCGGCTCGTTTTTCAGCAGAGCCTCGTAGCCGGCGAGCCTCACGTGGTCCGGCTTGTCGTGGCCGATCTGCTCGACGATTCTGCCGATCTCGTCGGTCCCGTTGCCATCGCCGCTGGCACCTTTCACCGACACCCAATCGTCCTCAGACAGATCGCTCAGTACGTAGGACAGCGAGGTCTGGGGCCGCGAGTTTGCCGCCGAGCTCGAACGAGTTGCCGTCGTCGTCATCGTCGCGCGAGACGCCACCCTTTCGCCGATCTGCTCGACGAAGGAGGTTCTTATGGCGTTCGTGAGCTCCGTCATTTCACGGGAGTTTATGATCTTCTGGGCCACGTCGTACGGGTCTCGCTCGCCGTTCAGGTTCTCGTCTATCGTGCTCGAGAACTCGTCGGTTACGCACTTTTTCATCCACTTTTTGAACTTGGGGGACAGATGGCTCTCCATTTTTGGTTTTATTATTCTGTTTGCGCCGATTTGTTTACATTTTATTCGTTCAGTCTGCACTATCTCTAGTCCATGACCAGTGATGCACAGTGTTTTTGCATTCGTTTCTATGGTTACTCTCGATGGGTACAGCTATGGTTTGGTCAAGCGGTGGATTTAAAATAAAACTCTTTCCGTTCATTTACATCATGTATTGTGTCACAAGTATTATTCATATGGATACAATTGATAAAGGTAAAAAATTTATCTTTGTTTTTAGTATGTACAATTGGAAGTACAAATAAAAACATGCCATCAGTTTTTGTACAACGTTGGATTATTTACATGTTTGATAAAAAAGTAGATTTCACGATTCAACGTGCAGTAACCAGTATATTGGGTGCTTTGGAGCGCAGGGCGTAAATTCCGCCTTGCAATGAACAAACTCCAAACACTTGACAGCTCATCAGAAAATCTGCAAACTGCAAGAGAATGATGTGTGACATTGAACAATTTATTGTTTTGATACTTAGCACTGGGTATTAAATTTTCGTACCAAAGCATTATTTTGTTCACTAGGGCCAATGATGACAACGATACTGTCTTTGTTCTCCGCAATAGGTTTGGCTTGTGGTCCAAGAGTATCAATTTGAACATTGGAAAGCTGAACACTAGTGAATGGAATGTTTATACTCCTGGCCACGGAACTTCTTTCGAATCTATGAGAAAAATAAATCGTGAAATATAAAATTTATTCGATTATTACGTGGTAACAAAATATTTTTTTTTTTTCTTACTGGATATTATTGCGAATATCAACCACAATTATTTTATCTGGAGAATTGTCTAGTAGATTCAAAAAGTCGTCTACACTGATTCTTGGCATTTTTTCAGTTCCAGGTTCCGGTTCCGACCAATTAGTTGCCTGAAAAATTTTTTATTTCCCAAATAAAAATCAGACTTTTCAAAAATACAATCTACTTAATTAGTGGTAATACAGACCTGGGCCTGATTGAACTGATGTCTCCGATACGTTATGCTATCTGGAGTTTTTTGATACATCGACATAGAATCTTTCACGCAAAGTTCTATGTCGATTTCGGGAAGATCGGAAAAAAGTAAGATGCACTCGTTGAATCCTGATGTGAGCAAAGAATCTCGTAACTGTTTCAATATGGCCAAGCCGACAAACAGCGGGAATGACGAATCTCCCAGTAAAAGCTTATCCCACAAATGTAAAATTTTATGGATAGGAAACACATCTGGAATTTTTTAACAGTTATTTGAACAATAAATATAGTCATTCGTTTGTTATTTGATAAACTTACGTGAAAACATAGTCAAAAACCAAGGTATGGCAAACAATTCTGGCACAAAACTTATAGATTTTAAGTGATTCGCCAACTGTGGGTCGTGGAACGCTATGATTTGAGAAAATTTTCCCAAATACTCCTGTATGACGGACGAATTGTCTTTTAAGAAAAATTTATGAAGGTACTTTGGTATGAAAGCGGACAGACAAGCAAAAGCTCGAGCTGAAAATTTTTATAATATTATCCGTTGGTATTGGCAGGGTCACTTTTTTGAAATAGATGCACCAATAATATATAGTTTACCTTCATTATTAAAATTTAAAAATAAGAAGGGCGCAGTAAGGGAATCAAGCCCTTGCCAGTACACATAATGAGGATTATCTCGAACCCAGGCTTTTAGTAATCTTTGTAGTCTTTCATGACCGGCGCCGGACGATAAGAGCTCGCTGTACTGATGGCACCTGGGAATATCCACTTCGATCTGCCTGTCTGTGTGCGTAGGCGTCTCCTTGTCTATCATATCGTAACGTTTTTGAATGTCACCAGTGACATCCAGTAAAGCCGCCCAAACTGCAGCCCTTACTGGTGGTGGAATATCCTTGTGAGCTTCGCGAATTATAGTGTCTCTGGTAATTGGGTAGATCTGAAAGTCATTTGCTCATTCAGAGGCAAGCACTTATTTGCAAAAAAACAACTAATGTTTTTGTTCATTGATTTACCTGAAGTAATCGATCGTACAGAACGATGCGATAAAATTGATATTCTGTGTCTCTTTCTCTTATTATTAGTGGTAACTGTGAAGCAGCCTCTGTCAAATCATCTTGAGCTTGCACGTGCATTCTGAAATTTTAATACACAAGCACTTATTTTCTCAAGTTTCCATTACATTTGTAATGTTCTATGTACTTACTGGCTTGTAAGCCGAGGATAATTTGCAACGTAAGGAATATGCGATAACCTTTGGATTAATGTATCAAGTGGAACTTTGACCACCCTAAGATCGAGCAGCCCAGCTGTATCACGACGTCCAAACACTTGACCAAGTAAAATTACAAGACTGTAAAAACAGTTACTTTACAATAATATCTCGATAGGAAAATTAATTTTTACATGAAGACAATTTTTTTTTACTTTGGTATTGATAAAATTGGAGGTCTGGAACGAATGAGACCCTGCTTTTTTAACTCTATCGAAATATCTCCTCCTGCTAATTGCCACAAGTAATAAAGTTCGTCCATTTTTCGGTTGATTATGTTTTCATATACGCTACCCTCTATCTCTTTGGCATCTTTTTTCAAGAAATCTTCGAAAATTGGCAAATTTAACAGTTCTTCTGGTGTTTTGCGCAACGATGAACGAATTTGCAAGCACGCGTTGACAAACTCTTTTACATTTTCAGGAAGTTCCTACATAATTTGAAAAATTGTATTTTTCATGCAAAAAATTCGATTGGTGATGGTGATTACTCAAACCTCATAAACGTTGAAACAATTGTTTTCGCGAGACAGCCGTTCAAACACGCTGTTCTCAGTATGAATCAAACTTAAAATCTTTCTCAAGCATTGAGACAATTTAACACCTGGCCAAAGAGTGCGTCCGAGTAATCTTTCCGCGATAATGATTCCCAAGGACCACGAATCTACTTTGACGCTTTTTGTGCAGTTCCCGAGAAAAACTTCTGGAGCAGTATATTTTGGATAGCTGAGGGATCAAACGAAATTTTGATGCTCTTTTTGGAAGCAAAACATTGAATCTTAATAAGAAATGTGTATTTTTGGCGTACCCTATAGGAAACGAAACATTTTTTCCATGATCAGTCATATAGTAAAATCCAAAGTTGTAAAGCTGAACATCTCCATTCTTATTTACAAGGACATTGTCTGGACTGAGATGACTATGTACCAGTCCAAGTTCATTCATATACTTCAATCCCACCAAACACTGATAAGCTATTTTGATGGTTTCATTGACAGATAGGTGCTGTTTTGAGGAAAGTGGCTCACCTCTGTACTCGGCAACAACTATTGTACGCTCTAAAGAGTAGAATTGTAATTGTGTAACTGAGGTATGATTTAAACAATATTTTACAAAAGTAAAATTAAATCACCATGTTTACTGCGAATAATATCCAAGTATTGGGATAAATTCGGATGATTGATTGTCTTGAGGAACTGAGCTTTTCCTAATATTGTTATTGAATTTGGAGTCAATGGTAGTCCGTTACTGCCGCAAAGCTCAGCTGGATGGCTTTGGGCAAAGAAAGTCATCCCACCAAAACATCTTTCTTCGTTTTCCAACAATGCAGGACACATTTTTTATGCTAACCAACTACTTTTTTTTTTTTCATAAACCATATAACCTGCGTCATTCACTTGCTTTAATTATCACTGAGGTTATAAATTTGTGTTAATATCCTTGTCTCTACGTACTATTTTCATTTTTTTTAAAACTGTATTCGTACTTTACAAACGACATGGGAAAAATGTCATATTGTTGTGTAAAGTGTATACCTATATATATTAAATGAAATGTCAGGAGAGAGAGAGAGACACCTCTCATCATCAGCTGATTTGAGTTCGCGGCTAAACAGCTAAATTTCAAATATGACGTTAAAAAAAAAATCCATACTTCTTTCATATGACAAAAATTAGTAAAGTAAAACAAACTTTTGATTAAAATAAAAATTTATTATACAATTTTACAAAATACTTAGTTCATTTAGATTTGAGACAAATCCGATAGTTAGTTACAAAACACGTAAATCATTTAGGCATTTGTTCCATCAATGAGGAAATGAATGTATCTCCATTAATGAGTTTGGTTGTACCAATGACAAATTCAACGTTTACTGAAAAATGAGAATTAAACAAAAAACCATAAATTTTCAAGACATGACAAATACGTAAGTATAAACGTGCAAAAGTCGATATATTACATTCTTCTTGCTGGGAAAGAAATCTCAGGGCCGAGATTTCTGCAAATGTACAGCCACCAATGAAAAATACTAATATGAGTTTCGATGGCTCCGAAGATGAGTCCTCGCTTGTCATTGAATTTCCTGAAATTCGATAGACATTAAAAATCATAGATTTTTGACTTGATAGTCAAACAACTGGAGAACAAAAATTTCTACTTCTGCCAGAAGCCGATTTTTGAGCAACACTGTTGATCGCAGGTCCTGGCAGTAAACCAAGAATGTCATTCAGCCCTTGCCATCCTCCTGGTTGCACTAATTGTTCTGCCAATCTAATGCTCAAAGGCGCGTAAATAGAATGTACGTAGCTTATGTCCTTTGGCGCGATTTCGCTCTCGTCTTCTACCGTTAGTCTCAATGCTTTTCGTAACACCGTGTACTGCCTGACGGACTGTTGGACTTTTAGTAGGCCTACTTTTTCTAAATTTAGTAAAGTCGGCAAGTATTCATAGCCGTAAGTCTGCACGATTTCTCGTTTGTAATAATCTAGTAGTTTTTGCTTCAAGCCAGAGTTCGTTATAGATTGAATGCACAAGAGTCGCAGTACTTTTAAAATTGGTTCTTGTTGGGCTATCAAGTCCTCTATGTAAGAATTTGGTTTGTCAGTATCTATGCAGTTGAGCAGTTCTTGTTCGATTTGCAATGTTTCCAAGAAATTCGTGGAGTCAGTAACTTCTTTGATCATTTCTGCAATGGTTGTATCTAAAGGAAAATTTTGAAAAAATATTCATTCTAGTTTGGTTGAACTCATTTGGTACTATACAAAAATACCCACGCTTGGCTAAAGATTGTTTAGTAGCTAGCATGTGAGGTAGCCTTGCTACAAATTTCCTTATTTCCTGTACACTTTTGTCAGAATGCCTTTCATCAAATTGCGATGATATCACTCTGGCCTTTTTACTCAGTACTGGTCCCACTCCATTGAAGTTTTTATCTCTAAAAGTACAATAACGTAAATATTCTTTACTGTGCCCTTTTTTCAATTTAAACATTTGAGTATCATACCTTATCTCAGCAAAAATCTCTTCTCCCGAATTGAGTATTATTTGTTGTATTTTTTTTTCAAGCGACATAGTAGGCGACTCATCAGAACTTGCAAACTTTTCAGCTGGCAATTTTACAGTGGCTAAAAAATTAATGTTTGAGTAGTGTTATTAATATGGGATGAAAAAAAAAAAAAAAATGGGTTGGTGAAATTTTTCACTCACTATTGTGTATTCCATAAATCTCATCAATCAAGCCCTCATACGTCAGTTGAGTTACGAGAGGCGACAATAAGTCTATTGATCTGTCGAGTAAAAGTAAATGCTCAATAACAGGTGTCTGTACCTCTTTAGACTTCGTTTCCTCATTTTCCTTTTCTAGTCTCTGCATCAAGTCCCAGACTTTACTGGCAGCAGGTCCTCTTCCAGTAACTTTTGGAATTTTACCATACAGCCTCTGCAAATTTTGTATGGCTATTGCTACTTGATACAAACAAGTAGGATCATTTTCTAAATAAAATTCGCGATATGCACTGCTTATTTCCATGGAGACCACGTCATTGTCAAAAGGAAAAAGATCACAAGGAAATTCTTCGATTAGTGTGAAGTTTCCATACACTCCACGGTTTTGCAACTTCTTTTCACAGAGTAGGCTTTTGCGTGGTACAAAAAATATGTGGAAATCTTTGCGCTGTCTGCTTCCTTCTTCACTATAAAAAAAAAANAAAAAAAAAAAAAAAAAAAAAAAAAAAAAAAAAAAAAAAAAAAAAAAAAAAAACATGAAAACGGTGAAATTTTGAGCAATTAGTTTTTCAATTACCCATGAATATTTTGAGCAATAAAATCCATAAGGTCTAAATGAGGCCTTGTAATAAAAATGACGTTGCTCACATCAGCAGGTGGTAGACGTCCGCCTACCAATGGGTACATTTTAATTACTTCATGTTCTTGAAGAGTATCACCTTTTGCCACAAGACCCATCGGCCCACCAAGTGATTCATCCCAAATTATAACCTACGTAATAAAAAAATGAATTATGCGTAAAAGGTGAATTTCCGGCTTTTTAAAATAAAAACGTAAACAGGTAAGTCTTTCAAACCTTTGGTCCGTCACATTTTTCGAGTAAACAGAGCAGCTGCTTTCTGGCCTGCTCTTGCAGTAATCCAATATTTAGTTTTCCACTGGACAAATGTGCGGAAGACATTATTTTAGTTATTTAGTTTTATCAATATTAATACAATTGCACCATTGTACAGATCAACTACGATTAACTCGTCATCTATTTTATTTTTACGTGTAATGGTGTAATAAAAATTTTAATTTCATAACACCATAAAACTCTATCTCCCTCACACAAAACGTAATTACCTATATTATTAAAAAATCAGTAAATGTGACAGCTAAAGCAAAAAGATATCATAAACAATCATGAGGTTATGTGAAGATTTCAGCTGCACCGCCCAAGTAAAAAAAATCGTCTGCCAATTTTAGTAAACATTACTGTAGGCATTGATTTTACCGACTATTTTGAAAATGAGTGTTTAAATGCTTAAGTATTTTGTGCTTTTTAAACGATGAAAAGCAGATACGAGATTAAGTTTATATGAGTTTTTAAAAATAGATCTATTTATTACGAAAACTTACAAAACATCATCACAAGGGATAAATTATAAAACTTTGTGGCAACTCAGCCAAACATCATCAACAACACACTTGAGTTCTATCATTTAAATGTAATAAACGTAAAAGTTCACACTGCGATTTCTTTGGCAAAAGGCACGTACAATTTTTCTAATTCAACACTTTTGTAAAAATTCTAAAATCCTACAACTATATACTATCTTCAAACACGTAGTTGTCGTCAAAGTCTTCACTTTTGAAATTAAAAGGCTTCAACGAGGCGTTAAGCCGATTGAGTAAATCTTCATCTGGAATGAAAAGTGTGTAAGCTTACACGGCACAGATATAAAAAAATACGTGTTCGGGAAATCAATTGAAAAGCTAATTTACGCTAAAGAAAATGTTTTATTTACACGTTCGCGTTCAACATTACAAAGCCACGTGCTTCAAAGTGTCAATGAGAAAAATTCGTGAATTTTTTTGCAGCCTGTATTTAAAAAAAAATACACGTTAATCAATTTAATCGTGATTTAAATTATTTACAATAACATTTACACTTACAAATGAAATCTAGCGGTTCGCTCGGAATTTTATGACAATGAAAGTATTTCAAATCAAAACGACGATTTGCCAGTATAAAGATGATGAGGCGGTTGACATTTATAAATCTACTAATGTAAGATAAACTTGAGATCTGGTTACGAACAACTAAAAGTTTTGCTCCTCTACTTTTTCGGCATTGGTCTGCAAGACATGTCGCAGCGCATCCATACATGACTTGGGTATGAGGGTGCCCACTATCTTGATATCATCCTCCGTACGCAATCGTACAACTTGCATTTTGGAGTTGTTACCAAGACGCGAGGCCAGTATAGTCTCGACTTGGCTCCACACACTGAGCACAGAACCAGATAATACATTGTAGGACCGACGTCTTAGGCCGGTCTCGCATTCTAGACCTACGGTAGCGTTCTTGCAATTGCCACGCCAATACGCATGCGAGCACGTAGTTAGCGAGGCCTGATACTGCGAGATCCAGTGAGCTCTTGCTTCCTCCTCTCTTACCTTTTTGTACTTCTTCTCAAGTTCTGTGAGCGTCTCTTGGCGCAGCTGCAATCCGGTGTTTGGCCTGTACAATATGTAAAGCTGGTCTCTCTTGGACTCGGTTTTTTTCAACTCACTGCCACAAACTGCCAGCAGGACTGATCTTTTGCCGTTGCGCACGTGATGGCTCAGATAGAAACCCTCAAAGACATCCTCCGTTTGAGTCCACCGACTTTCTGCATCCTCCCAGTTCATACCGCGTTCGACGTGAACTATGTGCAACTCTGTAGGTGCGATACCCGTCGCGTGCTTTCGAAGGAAGCGGATAAGTTTCACGCGACGTACAGACTCTCCCGAAGCTCCGAGGTCGAGGATGCCCATGTCAAACCGACCAGACCTCTTTGCATGCGTGATTATGGCGTTGAGGGTATCCGTGAAATATTGGAACAGATAGTTCTGCAGCTCGACCGGGACGCCAAGGATTCGGTTCAAAAATTTCGTTATATTGTTGTAGTCCTTGTCCAAAGAGTAGCTTCCGTTCTCGTTGTAGATCAGCCCGACGCCTACCAGAGCAACGGCAATATCTTTGAAAAAGTTGCCTCGGTAGTCCTGCGGTGGCGGTACCAATGGCTTCTCGAATCCCATTATTGCCCTCATGGTAGTTTCTAGGGCCGCACGCCCGTACTTATTGTCAATGTTGAATTGCGACAAGTCTCGAGTTTCGGTGGCTCGTCGATCCCCGTGGGTGAGGGCACCGAGGCTTTCCAATCTCTTGGAGACAGTCGAAGCGAACCTTCGCTCACCAGCCAGATTTGATATGAGAAATACGTACTCAGGCGCGTTTACTTGATTCGAACGGTGCGTCCTACCGAACTGCTGGATAGCCCGATCAGCGCTCCAGGGCAGCTCCAACGTTATGTGAACACGACGCATCTGATTTCGCGCTCGGCGATCGCTTTGTAGCGATATCCCACTGCTCGCAGCCTCGGAAATTATCGCTACCGTCTTCTCGCCGTTCATGAATCTCTGTTTTTCGGTGAGGTTGAGGGTTTCGAGTGGCACGTCGATTTCTGATCTCGTTTCGTACTTGACAGAGCCATCGTCGGTCTGTACGACGCGGCCCTTTCGACCCGTCATTTCAGCTACATTTTCTGTACCGCCAAGCTCGTCGATTAGCTGATCCAAGGTATTGGGAGGCAGTACCACGCCAAGAGTCTCGATTTTCGCTAGCAATTCTTCTTTCATGTTACAAGCACGGTCGATGCTATTCGCAGATGCATTCTGATCACGTGTTTCATTACTTGAAATCATTGGACTGGGCGCCAAAGTAGATACAGAAGAGGAAGAGCTTGCTACACCGTTGCTCTTTCTTCCCACACCCATATTTATTGTCTTCATTGCTGTAGGTTGTACTGTTGTTGTTGCTGTTGTTGTCTTCAAAGCTGTTGAAATCATGGTTGTACTCGGTGCAGATTTCTTCATCAGCATTGCCTGTATTGTATCTTGAGTTGAAGTGTTGTTAGCTTTTGATTTTTTAGATTTTTTCTTCAGGGTTTTCTTTCCTTCTTTCTTTTTTCTTCTATCCCAAGGATCGACGTCTGAATCGCTATCGCTGTCAAACGGATTGTAGTCCGAGTTAACGTCACTATTCTCTTCGTCGGATTGCGCATCGTCTTCGCTTTCTGAATCAATTTGTTTGACTACAGAATTTGAGTCTGATTTTCCGTTCTCCGGTTCCACTGATTCGTCATCAGACAAGTCGAGAATACGGATTTTCTTTGGAGCTGGTTGAATCGGGGGCTGCACTATTTTCCTTTTGCTAGGGTTCATCCAAGAATCTAAATAATTTGTTTCATGTGAGTATGTAAAAAAATGTTGATGGACACAACAACAAAACATAAATCAACTTACCTGAATTCGACAGAGGTAAATTTAATCCTAACACGCGATTAATATTATTTCTATTGGGTGCTGGGAAGTGTTTTTCGACTAGAGATTGAAAGACTCCCTTAGCAGTGGACACAAAATCATTAAGTTCTCCATCTTCGCGTTCCAATTGTTCGAGAGTTCGAGCTTCGCCAGTTGACTGCAAACCTATGACTACACACTTGCCGCATTTGAGTGCCTCTCGAGCTAAACTTATCGTGTGCTTGACTTTTGCGGCGATGCACAAGTACTTGAAGAACCGTTGGTGCGACGACCAAAATTGACTCCACATCGTTTTTTTCATTCGACTTTCGGCCTGTATAAGATTTGATGCTTCATGGAACTTTTGCATTGCCTCGACCCACAGTTTAACAGCCTGATCATACGTTTTTTTAAAATCTTCGGACAGAGGAACTTCTTCGATTTTGAACGTGACTCCTTGGAAGCCAAGTTGTCGTGCAATATACATTCCCCTGAGCTTCATGTCCATGGCCACGATCTCCATAGCGCCAACTCCACGCCTTTCCACTGCTACGATGAAATCATTGAAAGTCGAAAATGGACTTCCCTTGCCCCACATGCCCAGACGTACCATGTAAGCCATGTTTTTCGGCTCAGAAGCACCAGTTGCACTGGCATAAACGACTCTTGCTTTTGGTAACTTGTTTTGCAACTCCAATACTGTTAGACCTGTTTTGCTGGGTTTCGAACTAACAGAGGGACAAAGGTTCTTTGCCCTGTGACATTCGTCAAATACTATTAAACCATCAAAATCCTCACCGCACCACTGCACCAATTGCTTTAATCTACTGGTGTACTTTGTACCTAAGCTCGTTAAGCCTGTTTCACCAATAAGAGCCGAATAGGTACTGAATATGACACCTTTTTTAACATTCCCATTCGTACTCGACGACAACTTGCCGTACTTGAATTTGTTGAGTGCATAAACTTTGACCTGGGACGCTCCTATGTCCATGAGATCGCGTTCGGCATCGTACTTCAAGTCATTGGACACGGAAACCCAAATGGCTTTTTTCCTTCCCTTACAGTAGTTCTCAAATATAATACCAGCGATGGTACGGCCCTTGCCAACACCAGCACCGTCACCAATAAAAAAGCCAGCCCTAGAGCCATCGGGCAAGAGATGAGCATGCTGCTGAGAGGCATAGGTAATGGACTCGAGTTGCAGAGCTGACAGCGCTCCAGATCTTATGGTGTCATTGGGAATAGACAGATTGTACCAAACGTCCGCAGGCTCGACACTCGACAAGGACGCGGTCTCAACGACGGTATCAGGATGAGGCCTCCCGAGTTTGAGCTTGGCCGGCCGGTAAGTGGCATAAGTCTCAGCGACACCCATCTCCTCGTCGTCCTCGTCTTCCTCGGTAATGATGGCCTGAGGGTTGATGACAGGCATCTGCTTGGTGTCGGCGTTCATCCACATATTCGAGACTTCCTTGCCAGAGAGCCCGACTTGGGCAGGGCGGTTGACCACCTGAGGCATCCCTACCAAGTTGTTCGAGTGGTTGGCGAAGCGCGTGCCGAAATTGGGCAAATTCGGGACGGGTGGCCTGTGTTGGTTATACCGGACGGTCAAGGGCTGCTGTTTGAGGCCACTGACACCTTGTGGCACGACGTTGGAGGGTTTCGGCGGCTCGTTTTTGTTCGAGCTCGTGATGGACATAACCGTAGCGAGATCCTTACCGCCACCCGGGACTCCGATTTCGTCCGGATCCTCATCAAAGTCGCTGTCACTGCTGTCGTCGCTCATTTTTCGCCTTTATCCTTGCTCTGCTCAACTGTCAGGACTGTACAACACGAAGATACAGAGGTCAAGGGACTAATTCGGTCAATGACTCCCAAATGCGCTTAGCTTGATTTTCTCACGTGTTTCTACAGATTTCGTCGATTGTTCGGGACCGACGAGCACTTGTTTGTTTTCCTCTTTATCGTGGGCATCCACACACACGGTCACCTTATCTTGTGGATTATGCAAATTTAGTTTTTGATACGAGTTTTAATGATTACTGGGATAATAATTGTATGAACAAATTGCGAGGACGCCGTCTCTTCACTCTGCTTTGCTTTGCGAGTGTTGTGTACAACCTGGTAGGTACTAGGTACAACTATGCGGTCAAAAACTACACAGAATTACGGATAGCCTACCTAGGCCAGCCGTAAGCCGGAGTCTAACCTAACGCGACAAAGTAACTTTATTTTAGGGGAAAAGTAAAAAGTTACCAATAAGGGCAATGATACCATAGAGGTATAATAATTGAGTGCGCGAGCAAGGCAGAGGAGACGTCAGAAGGTGCGAGAGAGAGCGCATTGTATGCCACCACTTCTGATTGGTTGTTTTTAATTTTGTAGTAGTAGTAGTAAAATAGATTTATTGGCTTTAAAGGTGAATTACACAGCCATGGTACAACATGAGTATTGAACATGGTTCATAATATACATCGAGTACATAGAGTCAATACGTATATTTACATATATCTTTTAAAATAATATACTAAGCGTAATTCGCTCCGTGCATGACACGCAGCGCCGCCCTCGGTGTCGGAATCGCGCAATACCGTACCCCCGTATGATTAAATCGTAACACTGTCGCTTAATAGGAGAAAGTATTATTTATTGAATAAGACGTACATACTGCTATCGCGTAAACATCAGCACCCTAAAAAATGGATATTATTATCCAAACAGGCTCTAAAAGTATAAGTTGCAACATAGTTTTTAATAATGAAACGCTGAAAAAAGCTAAAAAATTAGTAGAGAGTGGGCACGTTGCCTACGTACAGAAATATGTAAATAAAGGAGTCGGTCATCTGATCAATTTATTGCTATGTTGTGAGACAAACATTTGTCAGCTTAAATCCATACAAAGTGGAATTATCTGTAAGTACATTATTGCCTGTGCTTGACAAATGTAGGTTATGGTAACATATACATAAATGTGTAATTTATTTATCAGATTAACGAAGACCGCTGTATCTCCGACGTGAGCTGACAGCTCCTTCTGTTTTGTTTCATGGGGTCTACTTGGGAATTTATACAGCACCACCCCCTGCTTTTCTTTATTGTTGCAATTAACAACGCAGCACAGCACTGTCTCGTACGCATTTCGTTACTTTGTAAACGTAAACACTGATTCAGATTATACAGCTAGCGGCAGCCTATGTCGACTGCTCTCTGGAGTTCTTGCTCTCACGTATACAACATTACAGATAAGTATGTGTGTTGTGTACTATATGACAGATGATATTTAATAACCCATTATTTAAAATTTCGGGCGATTTGAAGTGCCTAGCAAAATTATTTATCCGTATTATAGACCCGGTTTGGCTAAATAACATTTTTTTTTCGCCTTCGATTTCTCAACTAATTACTTTAAATTAAATAATATCTTTTCTCATATAAGACAACGCTTACTGTACGATTCATGGGGGTACGGGTTCGCCAACTTTGCTCACCTACAGCGCTGCAGTCGTTTTTTTTATCCCCTCCAACGGCTCCAACCTGATGCACGGAGCGAATACTCTTTAATTTTGACATTTTAAATTTGTATATAATTTCAATCAGCGCCATCTAGCGTGTGATTTTTCTCGTCGCTCATAGACCCTACTGACGTTTTTTTTTTGGCCGGCGAAGAAAAGCACAACTCAGATTTTGCCGTTGAAAATGACATAGAGAAATCTGAGTTGTGCTTTTTTGTCTGCTTACAAACTGGCTATATTCGACAGGCCGGATACCCTACGGATGTTTTTTGGCTTCGGGTGTGATCTTCAAGAGCAAAGGCCGCCCCCACCAACGAAGCCCGATCACCGGATTGTATACAATTGATCCACCACAATGTCGATGTCAAAAACGACAAATACATACAATAGGCAGAATTGGGAAGATGCTGTGAGTACTTTGGCAAATCTACATAATAAGGCACAATCAAAAACTAACCTAAAAAATTTTCCTTTTGTTGACAGGAATTTCCAATTTTGTGTCAAACTTGCTTAGGAGATAATCCGTACATTCGTATGGTAAATGCAAAATTTTTCGTAGCTCCAATATTCTTTGTTTAATTTATAATTGTTTAACCAATTTTTCTTACCTGATTTTTCAGACCAAGGAAAAGTATGGCAAAGAGTGCAAAATATGCATGCGACCGTTTACAGTGTTCCGCTGGTGTCCAGGTGCCAGAATGAGGTTCAAGAAAACAGAAGTCTGCCAAACTTGCAGCAGGTTGAAAAACGTTTGTCAGACCTGTCTATTGGATTTGGAGTATGGTCTACCTATCCAAGTGCGAGACTCTGCTCTCAAGATCAAGGATGATATTCCACGCTCCGACGTGAATAAGGAATACTACGTTCAGAACATTGACAGTGAGATCAGTAAGATTGATGCTACTACACCTGCTGGGGCCGTTGGAAAATCGGCAGCAGCTAGCGATTTGTTGATGAAGCTAGCTAGGACATCACCCTACTACAAGAGAAACAGACCGCACATATGTTCGTTCTGGGTGAAGGGGGAGTGTAAGAGAGGAGAGGAGTGCCCCTATCGGCATGAAAAGCCCACGGATCCTGACGACCCCTTGGCAGATCAGAATATCAAGGATCGTTACTATGGTGTTAATGACCCAGTGGCGGATAAACTGATGAGAAGGGCTGCCGCAATGCCTAAACTGGATCCACCAGAGGACAAGGCTATAACGACGCTCTATGTCGGCAACTTGGGCGAGATAATAACCGAAAAGATCTTGAGAGATCATTTTTATCAGTATGGCGAAATTAGGTCGATAACAATGGTTCCCAGACAACAGTGTGCCTTTATACAGTACACGCAGCGTAATGCTGCAGAGGCAGCTGCTGAAAGGACGTTTAACAAGCTTATACTTGGTGGCAGACGCTTAACTATCAAGTGGGGACGCTCTCAGGGTCGGCAAGCGGTATCGGCAGTAGAGGGTGTTAGAGAAACTTTGGAGCCTGTGCCTGGTCTTCCGGGAGCTCTGCCTCCACCACCTGAAAACGTGACCAACAATTTCTTTAATCTACCTGGAATGATGCCACCGCCAATTATTCCGCCTCCGCCAATGCCACCACCTGCTTTCCTTTTTACTCCTCCAATGGCTCCACCAGTCGCGCCAATATATCCACCTGGCACGGCACCCACAGGCATACACTACCCCAGTCAAGATCCATCTAGAATGGGAGCATCTCAAGGTATAGGGAAACCTTGGCCAGAAGAATAATCATTACATAAACTAAGTTAATTTTTGCATAGTGTAATAAGTTTACATGAAAGCAAATACTATTTAAGATTCAAAAGTACATTTAGTTGTTTGGAATTTATGATTATGACAATTGTAATTTTGAGAATTCGTTGACCATTTTTAAGCTTGAATATTGTCAGTGACTACTATGGTGTTATCATTTGAGTTTACAAATTAAGAAAAACAATTTTAATAAATACAAATATTTTTGCGAATTTTTAAAATTATAAACAGGTAATTTAAAAATATGTAAATACAAAAATATATAGTTGAAAAATTGTAGTTTTTTTTTGTTCATAAAGCTGCCTTTACATGTTTTTTTTTTTTTTTTTTTTTTTTTTTTTTTTTTTTTTTTCTTCTTTTTGTTTTTCCAATACTCGGGTGTCAATAATTATATATGAATTAAACATATTCAAAGTTACTTATTCAGGCTTAGCAATCATGAAAATATTTTTTTGCTATTATATGTATATTTATCCATGTACATACGTATTTTGAAAAAAATGGTAAAAAGACATTTAAGTAAGTAGTTTTTTTCGAAATGCGAACTTCAAAATATTACTGTAAGTGCACCCTAAAGCACCTTACTTTACAACCACAACAAAGCTCGATTCGAGTGTGTCATATATTGCACTCGGCTCACACATAACCACTTCAAATTGTTTGATTTGTCGCACATAACGTAAAAGTAATTAAGTATTCAACGTCATTCGAGGATTACTATACGAGGTAAGAAAAAAATAACCGGAAATTAGTAGGCAACCTCCTCAAAAGTTGATCAGAAATCTTAAATATATCGTTTATCGATTTCTAAGCAGTTGTGTTTTCTGCTACCATCGTCGAAAATAGCAGTCAAAATAGAGTAGCCGGCAACCAACTTCTCCAAAACCGGAGCGTCGAGGATGTCGGTGTCGTCGGAGAAGCTTGTCAAATTAGACGGTAGTCTAGGTGAAGGTGGTGGTCAGGTGTTGCGAGTGGCCCTGTGCCTCAGTGCTCTTTACCGGATTCCCGTGGAGATCGACAATATCCGTGCTGGCCGTCCAAGGCCCGGTCTCTCGGCCCAGCACTTGAAGGGCGTCGAGCTCGTTAAAGAGATGTGCAACGCCGAGGTGATAGGCGCCCGCATAGGCTCGACTCGTCTGATCTTCAAGCCTGGTTACCTGCAGAGCCAGAAGCAAGAGTTTGTCGCTGACACCAGAACGGCTGGTTGTATTTGTCTGCTCATACAGATTGCCCTGCCTTGTGCGTTATTCTCGTCCAGAGCAGCCACGTATATTCTCAAAGGTGGTACCAATGTGCCCTTTGGCCCACAAGTAGAATACATCAAAAACGTCTTCAAGCCACTTTTAAAGAGGTTTGGGGGAGACTTTGAGATGGATATTCTGAAGAGGGGCTATTATCCTCAAGGTGGTGGTGAAGTTCACATGAAGGTGACTCCTGTTCGTTATTTGAAGAGCATAGAGTTACTGGATGCCGGGGTCCCAACTGACATAAAGGGCTGGTCATATGTTGCCGGCTCTGTGAATATTAACGAGGCACAGACAATGACGAATAATGCCCATTCCACAGTTGTCGATGAGCTGTCCAAACGAAGCATTTGCGTACCTCCAATTGACATTATCACGTACAAAGAGCCAAGAAATGCCACTGTTGGTCATGAAGCTGGAATTAATTTGATGTGCAAGACAAGCAAAGATTGTGTTTTTGGGGGCTCAGGCCTAAATTCAGAGACTCGAGCCCAAACGCCTTCGGGAATCGATGCAGCCTACCAACTTTTGGCTCCAATATTAATGGATTCATGTGTGGATCAGCATTTACAAGACCAAATGGTTATTCTAATGGTTCTTGCTAAGGGCACCTCGAGAGTGAAAATCGGTAAAATGGAGTTGACTTGTCATGCAGAAACTGCAAAGCAAGTTGCAGAATTGATGTTAGGAGATAAGGGACTGTCTTTTTCATTGAACAAAGATGAAAATGGTTCTCACATACTTGAGTGCAATGGATTAGGACTGTGTAATGAATATTTAAGTTGATACTTGAAGTTACTTTTTTTCACTCATAAGTTATAATTATCTTACAACGAATTAATATACAGATTTTTTTTTTCTTTCCTTATTGTGTTATTGTGGTAAATCTATTAAACATTTGTACGTACATTTTATGTAATGGAACTGTTTTTTTAGTGTTGCAATCGTTTCTCGAACTGTTAGAAAAAGTTGTAGGTATCCTTGATATCATACAGTTACAGAAAGGATGAATTACAGGAATTTTCAAACATGCATAAATTCATGCATTACACAATTTTTGAAATAAAAAAATGTCAGTTTATTCAGGTATAAGATTAAGCGTATATTTTGTCAATAACATTTTTACAAGCTCGTCAGTCGTTGTAATAAATTACTTGTTATAACAAAAAAGAGTTCTTAAAAATTGTGTACACTGTATCCAGTAAATACAGTCAACAGAAACAGCGCGCATGCATTCAATCATCAATTTACATATCAGTCTTGAAAGGACAATCACTTTTAAAACCAAGCAACTGAATAATCTTTTATCAGCTGCTATCAGCAAAAATCCAACAGTCTAGCAGTCTCGATTTGTTTATTTTTTTTTGCAATCTGCAACGGAGTAACGCCAAACCGATCCGTTGCCCCGCGAAAGTGCTCCCCTAGCTTAGTCAGAGCGTATCGAATGACCGTTACATTTCCTACAGAAGCCGCTACGTGCACCAAATTCTGTCCAATGTTGTCAAGTGCCTCGACGTTGGCTCCCTGTTCGATCAAATGCCGCGTGATCCCGGGATCCTTACTCTTGACCGACTCTAGCAGTGGAGTGCAACCAGCAGAATCACGCGCCTCCAGCAGCTCCGGCATGGCCTTCAGCAGCAGATCGACAACATCTCGGTGAGCGTGAAATGCAGCGATGTGGAGCGCGCTGCGCTTGTTGTTACTCCGGTCATCGACACACTCGGGCGAGAAGTCGATTAGAAGCTGGACTATCCGAGGCTCCCCGGTTCGGCTGGCGAGCAGCAGTGGTGTCCACCCGTCCTTGTTTCTTAGACGCGAGTTTGACCCATAGTCCAGCAAAGTCTCGACGCACTCCAGAGCATCTGAGCCACCCTGGGTACAAGCGAGCATGAGCGGCGTCCAGTCTGCTCGTTTCAGGGCATCCACCTCTGCGCCAAAGTGCAATAGGTAGCGGAGTATCCGTTTGCGGGCAAATTGCGCGGCCTCGTGCAGTGGACGCTTCATGTCAAAGTTTGCCGCGTCTACCACCACCTTTTCGAGGTGCGGCCAGTTCTCGCACAGGTGGTGAACGACCTCGAGGTGGCCTTGACGAGCTGCCAGGTGCAGAGCCGTGTCACCTGTCGTCTTGTGCCGGTAAATGGTCCAGTCCTTTATGTCGTGCTCCTCGGCGAGGCGCTTTATTTTATCCAGGTGTCCGTTTTGACAAGCGGCCAGAAATTTCTGAGTATAATATGCATTGTCGGTCATCGTTTACTTTTTATAAGGTATAAGGACAAGCAGGATTTGTATTTACTTAAGTATAAGACCCTCACTTACATGCATGATGAAGCTGTCAATTTTTATGAATCAACACATTTGCTTTTCTCTCTCCACACATTCGGGCGTGTTCGGGCTTCATCGGCGGCCCTCGTTCCAAGCGGCGTTACCCACCACGACCTATATGTAACTTTACAGCCTCTGATTTTATCATTCTGGTATAGACGTATAGAGAGACCGGTGTAAGATGTACGTGAAGTTATGTGTAGTAATTAAAGTAATTAGGTACTACTAAGTAATGTCATATGGTCGATTTTATTAAACCATATGAATATCTATATTTTTAGAGGTAGACTTTTGGGTAAAAAATAGATTGTAAACTTGCCGCAAACAGCACAGACCACGTCAACTTTTTATTACCTATTTATAAGATCAGTTTCGGCTGGTTTATAATTAATTAAATGACTCTAATATAAGAAATAATAATTATTTGGATCAGCGCCATCTAGCGGTCTTGATTTTTTGGCCAAAAGTGGCTCCTAAAATTCTGAATCGTAGCAATCAAGAGAAGAGCCATTTAGTCAAGTATAAACCAGCCGCAACTCATGATGAAGCTACAAAATAAAAAAATAACAATACATGTGTTTTTGGCGGCAAGTTAACAATTATTTTTTGCTCGAAAATTTATCTTCAAAGGTATAAATACATAGGAGGTCGATTTTCTAGTAGAAAATAAATTGTTAACTTGCCGCCAAAAACACATGTATTCTTATTTTTTTGTTTTGTAGCTTCATCATGAGTTGCGGCTGGTTTATACATGATCAAATGGCTCTAATCCTGAATGCTCTGATTGAGAATTTTAGGAGCCACTTTTGGCCAAAAAATAAAGACCGCTAGATGGCGCTGATCCAAAATAATTATTGCTACTTACAGTAAAGTCACTTTATTAGTTATAAACCAGCCGCAACAAATTTTATAGATAGATAATAAAAAGTTAACATTTTTTATGCTGTTTGCGGCAAGTTTACAATTAATCTTTGACCTTAAAATCGACCTCCAAAACCATGCATATTCTACTTATCTTATATGGCTCATAAAATCGACAATATTTACAAAATTTTAATACTCTTGACCTTTTACCATTAACTAATGAAAGAACAGCCCTTCAACTTTAGATTTCCAATAAACAGTTAACTTATATAATATGTACATAGCAAAATTTGTGTTACAGAAATCGTAAATCACGATCAAATATACACGTAAATGAATCAGTCGAAAAGAGACAACTAAAGAAAAAAGGACTGAAAAAGAAGCACAGTCACACGAAGAGTCTCCTAGGAATGGAGCATCGGATTTCACTAATTGAAAAATACATTTCTTACAGAGATGTAAATTTTAAGTGTTACAAGTTACAAGTAAACAAAGAACCCAACCTTCTCTGATCAAGTGAGATCCAATGCTCCATTCTTATGAGACTTTTCGTGTGACTGCGCTTCTTTTTTAGGCCTTTTTTCTTCGATTGTCTCTTTCGGACTGATTAATTTGTGCTTACATGAGTTAATGGTAAAAGGTCAAGAGTATTAAAATTTTGTAAATATTGTCGATTTTATGAGCCATATAAGATAAGTAGAATATGCATGGTTTTGGAGGTCGATTTTAAGGTCAAAGATTAATTGTAAACTTGCCGCAAACAGCATAAAAAATGTTAACTTTTTATTATCTATCTATAAAATTTGTTGCGGCTGGTTTATAACTAATAAAGTGACTTTACTGTAAGTAGCAATAATTATTTTGGATCAGCGCCATCTAGCGGTCTTTATTTTTTGGCCAAAAGTGGCTCCTAAAATTCTCAATCAGAGCATTCAGGATTAGAGCCATTTGATCATGTATAAACCAGCCGCAACTCATGATGAAGCTACAAAACAAAAAAATAAGAATACATGTGTTTTTGGCGGCAAGTTAACAATTTATTTTCTACTAGAAAATCGACCTCCTATGTATTTATACCTTTGAAGATAAATTTTCGAGCAAAAAATAATTGTTAACTTGCCGCCAAAAACACATGTATTGTTATTTTTTTATTTTGTAGCTTCATCATGAGTTGCGGCTGGTTTATACTTGACTAAATGGCTCTTCTCTTGATTGCTACGATTCAGAATTTTAGGAGCCACTTTTGGCCAAAAAATCAAGACCGCTAGATGGCGCTGACCCAAATAATTATTATTTCTTATATTAGAGTCATTTAATTAATTATAAACCAGCCGAAACTGATCTTATAAATAGGTAATAAAAAGTTGACGTGGTCTGTGCTGTTTGCGGCAAGTTTACAATCTATTTTTTACCCAAAAGTCTACCTCTAAAAATATAGATATTCATATGGTTTAATAAAATCGACCATATGACATTACTTAGTAGTACCTAATTACTTTAATTACTACACATAACTTCACGTACATCTTACACCGTGCTCTCTTTACCAGAATGATAAAGGGTGTTTTCCGCAATCGTCACCAGCAAGTAATTTAATGTTGCGCTCTACGTTACCGTCAGGTCGGTAAGTCAACTACCTTGAATTAAACTGCAGTTAATTTAAGTTAGTTGACTTACCGACCTGATAGTAACGTAGAGCTGACGATTGCGGAAAACACCCTGCAGTATTTGTAAAATGCAGCGTGTGATGAGGAGGAGACGGAGGAGAGCGGGAAAAACAAGATATATAAGTATAGTTGCATGCCTTCACGAGTTCAAGCACGTGTTTTGTATACGATGTGTAATTTGAGCGGTTGCAAGTGGGACACTCGTGATTGGCTTTTGTTTTGGATTGGATCTAGGCTTGGAGAGTAGTGACTGTAGTGAGTAGTTTTTTTTCAAAATATTAAAATATTGACGTTGGAACGAAACAATTGCTCTGCGATAAAAATATAAAGAACAATTAGGCATTGTAATGGACCGGCGTAAACTAGGCAACAAAAGCAGTGTGCTGCACAAGCAGTTCCAGTCGTCCAGTCAACTGGGAATAACGCGAATCAGTTCGACGACCTCGCAGATGACGAAAGAAGCCGTCTCTAGGTCCGTTAGTGCGTTTGAAGCGTCGATGAGGGCTAGAAAAAGAAAAAACTCAAGCGAGCGTGACTCGAATGACGAGAACGACGAGCCGGTTGTGCGTGCAGTTACCAAAAAAAAGAGGAAAAACGTCATTGTCGACAAAGACGACGACAGCAGCAACAGCAGCAGCAACGACCAAGAGCTAGCCGTAGACATCGTGGGTTCCTTGAGCTCTGGATCCTCGTCGCCCAAACGTGGTAAAAAGAAGAAGATCGGTGCTGACAAGTTTGCAAAGCCTGGCTCACCTAAACGCAAGAACAACTTGGACAAAGATGACGATGACAGTGAACGGGGAAGCAACAACTTTGGAGGGTCTTACATTCATTCCCGACTAGAGTCCATGGATAGGAGCCCCTCCAAGCTGAGCCAGAATTCCAACAGTTCGGTTACTTCGGCTGATAAATACAGGAAGATTAACTTAAGAGCTCCTTTGAGTAAATCTAAGGCACAAAAGGCACCAGCCAAACCTTTGGTTGAGAGGGTGAAAACCGCTCTGAGTCAAGCATCACAGCAGAAATTGACTCGAGATAATATTGAAAAGGAGAAAGGAAAGGATCTCGAAAACTCCAAAGATGGGTCAGCTTCTAGAAGGACAGCTGCCGACAGTATTAATGATATGTCCATGACATCTTTCAGTGATGAAGAGATGTCGTTTTCAGATACAGAAGTAGCCCCCAAGAAAGTGACAAGAGAAGAAAAGAGTCCTCAAAAGCCTACAACTTCCAAAGTTACCAAAAGTCCTCAAAAAGCATCTACTTCAAAGGAAAAAAGAGGATTGTCGAGAATATCTTTAGCTAAACCCAAAAATCCTCCTAAAGCCAAGACTCCACCTAAGAACATTAGAAACAGAATTCCTGATTCACCAGAGCTTGACTCTCTAGAGGATCTTCAGAATCTCGAGAGAGATGTAAACGATAAAAGGTCAAAAATAAAAGGCCAAAATGATGATGGTAGCTTGTTTACGGACTTTGTCAACCAGATGGGAATTACGTTGTATTCTGGAGACAGTTCACACACAATCAGTAAGTATTTATAAATGATTAATTTTTTCCCCAAGTAATATCTATTTAACATCTATTTTCAATTCGATAGCGGAAGATACGAGGAATATTGTAAAAAAAATGAAAGACTCGTTTGATTCAAAATTATATGATGTTGAAAATATACTTGAATCTTGGAATAATTATATGGATGATGTAGAAAATCTAAAGAAATCCTTGGTAGTGATGATAGTAGAAACTGAGGAAGGAACAGTCGTTTCTTCAAAAGCTGTGTCGCTCACTAGACTTTTACTTGAAGTTCCCCACTTACAAGTTGAGGTACTTAAAAATCTTTTCAAAAAACTGATTGATGCTGTTGTTGCAACGTAAGTATAAAGCAACAGGATCTAAAATTCTGTAATTGTTGGCGTTTGCAAACTAGATATGTGATACATTTTTCTTTTCTGAGTTAGTGATTCATCAGATGATGCACTTTGGGCTAACCAAATGATTCAGCAGCTTAGGTTTTTAGATATGATAGTTGATCCAGATTGCCTTATCAGTCTGATTGAAGAATTATTGAGCAGATCTCCTGAATGGTTTCAAAGAGACGTTATACTTTTTATTCCCGATATCGTTACGGATTCACAGCATCGCATTACAGCAGAAATGCTCATGAAGATCATGGAAATTAACAGTGATATGACTAATAATATTTTAGACTGTATGCATAATTTAAATTTACCCAAGGAGTACAGAGAAGAATTGAGAGTACAAGTTTTGGGTTTATTAGAGAAAATTTCTGACAAAAGCTGTGTTCCCAACATTACTAGGTATACTCAAGTTTTAATTGTAACAATTGAACTGACTTTAGGATTTGATTAATCAATAAAATACTTTTTACAGATTTGTACTCACAGTATGTGCAAGTGAAGCAGTAGCATTAAAATCACTTAAAGCTTTGAGGCTTGTAGATATGTCGCCCAATTCCAAAGAAAAACCCGAAGAATGTCATACAAATCAAATGTTTATGATGAATGCGATAAAATCAAACATTTATTTGTTTAAAGAAGTAGCTCAAGCTGCCGTTGCAATTATTAAAAGTTCTATATCGGAAGCAAAACCCTTGGATCTCTTTTTGTCAATTTTGTTGTACGAGACAACGGCAGCAAGAAGAAAAATTGTTGAAACTGCCCTTCACAACCATATTAAGGAAAATTATTACAAAACCGATTTTTTAGATTTTCTGTACACAAACTACAAAATCGTTTTGAAAAGTTTTCAATCAACAACTCTAAATTTAGCAATCAATCTTTTGAAAGACAACAGCCCTACTCACGTAGAGTTTGGAATCGAATGGATGCGGAATATATTTATTAGTCAAGCTGACACACCCCACAGACAAAGGGAAGTAATGGAGAGGCTCTCGAATCTTTTAGGTTGTAGGGATAAGACGGCAAAAAATGCACTCGCTGTACTTTGCAAGATGACTGATAATGAAAGCGAATATCGTTTCCTTGAACAACACGCGGGATTTCTACGAAGTTTTTTGTATAAAGTTGACAATTTGGACTTTGATGAAGTTGCAGCATTGTACCATTTACTTTTTGGATTGTGCATTCGGTCCGAAAAAATTTATGATATTTTAGATGGTGACTTGAATATGATTCTACGGAAACAGTTGACCAGTTCAAAAGTGATGTAAGTGCAGATGATAATAAAAAAAAACTACTTTAAAGTGCTTATTTGTCTAATTCGCTATTATTTTTTAGAACCAAATGCAAAGGAGTCGTCGCAGCCGTCATGTCAATTAAACACCTGGCTGGAATTAGAGAAAGAAGCGACGATGCGTTTGAACTTATAAGTAAGCGTAATTTTACATGAGATTTAAAAATTACACTTGTGACCAATTATTTTATTTTTCAGAAATGACATTAAGCATTTTGAAAACTTGCGTGAGTTCGACAGCTCTTTTTTACGATCAGTTAGGACAAATCATAGCTACTACAGAAAACATTAATGAAAACTTCTTGCAAAATGTATCAGACTTTATGGAAGAACATTTCGTAAATACCTGCTGTCTCGACCAAAACCCAAAGTAAGTCAAGTTAACATAAATATTTTTTTTGCTAGTTATATTTGATGATTGCAATTATATTTTTGTCCACTATTAGTGATCATTTAGAACCAAAATACTGTATCAATAATAGTTCACAACAAGACTACTACGTTTATTTTGAAAATGGCAAAACTGGAGCTTGTGTTGCTGTATATTTTAAGCTTCTCCGTATTTGTGTTTTGCGACTTAACAAAAATTTAGGAAGTATAAACGCTATATTAGGTTTTGCTATTTTATTACCTCAAGAAATGGATTTGCCAGAGCCATCAACCGCCGATTACATGATACACTGTATAAACTGGTTCAGGTACCATTTCTTTTGCATTCATAATTACTCGTTTGATTTCATATGACCCTTATTAGATAATCATCATTTATTTTCATTTCAGAGAACTCATAAGTGGCTTTGTAAGTGAAAAAGAAAATCTTTACCGAGAGATGATCCTCAAGCGTTTGGACAGCTTGATGAGTTTACAAGGTGAATTTGTGTCAATGGTCGCGATGTGCGACAGTCACTATCAGCCCCCACTTTGTTACTTCCACCACTTTCCATCCCCGCAGTTTGTGCGGGTCGATATTAAACTGGGGAAAAAAGGTGGTAAGCGTGGAAAAAAGTCAAAAAAGGATAAAGAAAAGGAGAAAGATGATGACAACGCCGAGTCATCACACAGCCTGAAACAGCCTATTGCACTACCTGAATGGGACAATTGGGAAATCGGATGCGAGATGACAATGAAAAACCCTGCGTTTTTCCGAAAAATGGATGCGAAAGTTAGTGAATGAGACCATGATTGGATCGAATTGTAACAATTCCACCAGTTTCAATATGAATGCTTTCTATTTCAGATACTTAATCTTTTGGATAACAACTGTCAATTAATAACGATCGCACAAACTTGCTTTGTAGTCAAAGAAATTCTTGGAATGTTTGAAAATCAACCCTCAGTGAGTTTTATCCAAGAAGTTGTTGAATTATTGCCAATGGTGTGTAGTAAGTTTAAGAAAATTGTCGCTGAACTAAGAGTGGATAACGAAACCCACGAGAGGGAGGCTGTAAGGTTACTATTATGCCTTTTTATTACCTTGTTCAGTTGGAAAGAGTTTCAAAATTCTAGACACAGTAGATTAGTTCGAGGTATGTCCTTTTTTTATACCTAAATGCGTCTTGACGTTTGAAATCAATTATGAATGATGAACGAACACTTCCTTGCAGAGGGTCTTAGATCTCTAGCAGCAATGATGAAAGAGTCAAATTCCTCGTTGAGAACGAGAAAGGAGCTGGTAGCTGAAGCATACAAGTATTTCGAATCACTGTCGGACATTGCCACTGCTGAAATTTCGTTAGCTATCGCACTGGTAAACATGTGTAGTTGTTTATTGAAGCATTCCGAATCATTTGAAAAAGAATCCAAGGAGAAACATGGTAAGTTGAAAAAATTAAATGAAAACGACAAACACTATAAATTTAACTTCATACATGTTGCTTTCAGCAAAAATGGCTTATAGCTTTTTGGTTCTTGAGTGGAACAATGAACCCAATGGTCCCCGATTTAAATCGGCAGTCAAAGAGTTGTTGAAAACTTGGATGGAAAACGAGCCTGATCCACTGAAAACAATATCTTCAGTCATTGAATGGCTGCCAGATGAAATTATGGCCCTTGAACGTCCGCAGTCTCGTTTGAAGACTCTTCCGGCTGTAACTAGAACTAATTTCCATTTAGTTTTTAAGCAATTATTTTGCGGTCTCGTCAAAGGTATCAACATTTCACTTGGAATGGCAGATACGTAGGTGTTTTTTCGATCAGTTATTTCCGAATCATAATGCATATGTTATTTAAAAATGTAACCACTGTTTATTTCAGCGACCCAGATCGAATCCAGTCATGGTTGCAATTAGCCAAGTGTGTTGACGTAATTACTGATATTTGCAAGGCAACAGCACTAAATGTTCAAATAATAATGTATCTTCGATACATGGCCATACTTTATCAAACCCTTCTCACATCTGGTATGAAGGTTCTTGAGGCCAATGTTAAGTATCAAACGGAAGACGTGTTGGGAGTGATAAAAGTGTTTCAAAGTAAGCAAACCCTTTATTACATTGTGAATGACTAAAACAAATATTAAAATCGATGTCTTACTTTGTTTTAGAGACTGGAAAATATTTAAGAGATATTTTCTGTACAGCCCGAAAAGATAAAAATATATCAATGTTAAAGTTAATCCCACTTATGAAGTCAAGGCGAGAAAAGTTTATCTTTAGAGTTAAAGGAATGTTGACAGCTAACAATTCTATTGAAGCTTTCTGGATGGGAAACTTGTTATTGAATAAGGATGTGGATGGCGAAGAGGTTGCTTCTGAGGTATGATATTTTTAGTTTTTAAATATAACATATTATTACCTAGACATTGCATTGAAAAAATTTTTTTCTTCTAGACTTCTGAAGATATGGATATTGGCTCAGAAGCGATTGATAATGCAGAAGATAACACCTCAGTCGTATATGACAGTAATTCTGATTCTGATCCAGATGAAACAACGGATTAGAATTAAATTATTATCTCAAAGATATTTATATTTTCACTAGCGTGAATAAATCAACAGTATTTTTTTTTTACTTTTTCTACATNGAAAAAGCTGGTGGTGCTCTGTATTCACGGACTCCTCGCTGCTTCTGACGTCTGGGTGTTACGAGGACCCGATAAGGATCTCGGTAGGTTACATTAATTTTTTTATTTTCCGTTTCATCACGATCTTTTGTTGATGACGAAAATACCCTTGTCAATGAGGCCCATTTCGTTTGAAACGACGGATGATATTTTTTTTTTTTTTTTTTTTTTCATTGGGGTTTTTTTTTTTTTAAAAAAAAAAAAAAAAAAACACTAAGTATTTAAGGCACTTGAATTAATTTAAATTATTAGTATAAACTTGACACTTCCACGTGCCATCTTCCATCATCGTCTCCTCTACAAAGGTAACTTTGAAAGATTCGTCAACGAGTATGATGCTGTGAGTTCTCGTGCCGTATTTTTCTTTCTCGTGTCGCACAAAAATAGAGCTTAACTCGTTGAATGCTTCTGGTGATCGCTTTTTAAGTTCATTGTCGGGAAGATGTCTAAAAATTAATTAATTGAGAAAATTGTCACGAGTGTCGGGATCTCAAATGTTTTGCAAAAGGTACCTTTCCTCTTGCTTCAATAATCGTATCAAATCTTCAATCAATTGCTCTTGTCGAATAGTCGATGCGTTATCTATTATTTTCTTGAATCTATCTTTTCCAATCAATACTTTCTGATAAGGCCTTTCTATGCTACTGTTTCCAAATCCCAAAACATCGTCATGAAGAGTCTTTTGTCCCGAACAGTTAAATTCACTGCTCAAATAGTAGACATCACTGCTCCTAAAAATTGACAAAACAATTGTAATGAAAAATTGTTTATTCCAAAAAGTAATAATCGTACCTCAAATCAACCATGACCAAGTTGTAAGGGTTGTAAGCTTGAGTATCCTGATTGTACTTGTGAAGCTCGTCTGCATGAACTTTTGTTGAATTTGGAGTCGTTAAGTAATCCCTCACCAAAAAACCTCGACCCTTGCCTTGACTGGATTTCGGCATTCCGTTTAAATTTAATATCACACCGACTCTGCCGGTTTTGTAATTAAGTGCCAGCCAAGTTCCTCCCTCTCGGCCTGGTTCCATGTCTGTTCCTACATTATTTCTTAAATGTTACTTAAATCCACCCGCTACGTAAATAATTTCAGAGAGAGCATATATCCATTGATTTTCAAAACAAGCATCAAACACTCATCGTCATCGTCAGTGAAATTAATAATTGGCAATACCTCCAAGGCATCCCGGGTAATCGTCCCAATGATGTGCAGGCTCGGCGGGTCTGGCATAGTACTCATCGCGATTCGCGATCAAAATGAGTCTGTAGCCGGTAGGTTTTGGTTCCGGGTTCCGATGAATAAACAGTATACACATGTCGCCACGACAAAAAGGTGTGGCTCGGCCGCGTCGCTGTCAACGTCCAATCTTCCTCGCTGGCTTTGCCGATGTATATTATCTCGAGCTACCGCATCGCCACTGCTCTGGCTTCTTCTTCTACTTGGAACACTTGCTACCGTCATTGTCTCTTTTTGTGTATCTTTCTTTCTTTGTTAAACATTTTTTGTTTAAGTTTATTGTAAAAGCACCTAAGAACCATCCTTACTGTATTATCGAGATAAGAGTCGACGACTATATACACTTTTATATCGACGGCAATGCGTAGGAGGGCAAAGATTTCGAATACGCGAAGGAGAGGGAGACGAGATTCCTTGAGAAAGAAACACACAAAAACTGATAAACCCGCGCTTGCGCTAGTACTTACGATTTTTGAATGAATGAAAGAATAATTTTTCTTGTCGTTTATTTGTTTACTGTTTCATTTATTCACGTCGAATCATTTAACTAATTTTATTTGTTTAGTACGATTATCTAACTGGCGCCAAGTATCTTAAAAAAGAGTTTTTTTCACATCGATTGTACTTGTAACTGTGTCTCAGATCGTTAATTGAACTTATTTGATAAGCATGTGTATTCACTCGTGCCTGATAATAGATTTTTCAGTGGAAAAGTAAAGCGATTCTTCTTATATTAAAACGTTAAAGTGTGCACGAAAACGTGCTGTAACGATCAATTGTTGATCTAAATTTATATTATTGGTAAGGAATAAAAAATCTATATATAATATCGAAAGTTATTTATTATTATCAATCGCACGTATTCCACATTACATTGTTCATAACAGTAAGGACAATAGAGATGGATGTCAATAAAAATGGGTGAGTAACAGCACACAATGAACTCACACGTATAATTATATTTGTATTTGATTTTATTTTAATTTTTTTAATTTATAAAAATCAATTCGACTCGTTAGAGTTGTTTTCATATATCATCTGAATAAAATATATATTTACATACACTTGATTCGTGACAAATATTTATTTTTTAACAATAAAGTATCAAATTACATGAAAATACTCACAAAGGGTTGATTACAATCCTCGCCAGGGGATTTTCTTTCATCTGATTAAATCGTTTTGAAAAATCAACTATTTAATATACATCTGGCAGCATAAGTCGCGCAGACCAGGCCTGGGCAACATTGAGCGGTTAGAACGCACTGTCATTAAACGGAGGTGATAAATATTTCGCACAATACATGCTTTGGATTCACATATAATGTAAAAAAGTATTGGTGTACTCACGTATTCTTTTCTTTTGGCGCAATCCTTGACGGGTTCGTTTACTTCGTTGGATGATGGTTTAGCCAAAACTAGTTGTGTAATTAGCATGATCGCGAGTAATACATATACAATTTTAGCCATTGCGAGTATCTGAAAAAATTAGTTTTTTTTTTTTAATTTCATCCATATTAATAAAAATG